GTTTGCGTGTGTTTTAATGTTACCTTTGTCAGGTTTGGGTATTCATGTTATTAATAGCTTCCCAAGAAAAAAGTTTGGAAGCTCTGCTCTTTGTGGGAACTGATTAAGCAGCATTTAATTATGTATTTCTTAAAGGTTTGATATAATTTCCCAATAAAACTAAACTTGCTTTTGTTTTCTTAGGGGGTTGTAGGAGAAAAAGACACTAACTCAGTGAAAAATTTCTTATTTTCTTTTATGATGCTTTGTTTTCTTTTACACTTTGTCTTCTGGGGATGATGTGACATTCATAGATTTAACTCAGATTCTCTTTTTTAAAATAATTCTTTTGATATTCTTGGTACCTTTGGTTATTTGCCTATACTCATTTCTAATTATCTGATATAATTTTAAGGTGGTTAAATGATATAGACAAACGATTGCAGCCAGGCTGTATCTATTACTTTCTGTTTTTGTTTTTTTTTTAAGCTGAGCCATCCTGCCACCTGTTGGCAGCTCAGCAGCTGCTCAGCTCGGGCCGGGAATCGAACTGTATCTATTACTTTCAAATGACATTTTTATTTGTCTGAAATCATGTCAACTGGAAATAATTTTTGTCAACTTTGGAGATGTCTTTGAGATGGTATTAATTAAAATTCAGGCTATGTGGCACTCACAAAAACTGACCAAAAGATAGGCAGGACCCCGAAGGGCGGCTACAAACAGTTAACAAGGCGTTCACAGGACATGGAGTTAGGAAAGGAGTGCAATAAGTATGACGACAGCGGGGTCAGGGAAGAGAAGCCCCAAATTAAAAGCCCCTGCTGGGTAGGCCTGGCTGAGTGGCTCAGTTGGTTAAGAGCTCGCTCAAGAGTTTGAGCTCTGAGCAACTGCGGTTCGAGTCCCGGCCCGAGCTGAGCAGCCACTGAGTTGCCAACAGTAGCAGGATGGTTCAGCTACAAAAAAAAAAAAAAAACAACCCTGCTGGGAAACGCAACACTGATTTGTGCAAGTTAGCTGCGTTCCTCTTGGGCACCTCTATGCAGTGTGCTGTAGAGGGTAGCAAGATTCGTGGTTTTTTTTTAAAGGAGAAGTAGGCATTCCACCAAGAAAAACACTTGAGATTAGTTAGTCGCCTGTGAGTTCCAGTCATGTTAAGCCTATAAAAAAATTCCTTACATGCCTATGTATTACCTTTTCCTGCCTTTTTTCAAAAGAGGATTTAACTTCATCAGAATCTTTCTGTACATTCGAGATATCTGTAGGTTCCGTTTCTTCATCATCTGGCAAAGCAAAAGTCACTCTTTTCAAGGTTTCTTTATGTTGTTTCGTGTCTTCGCTTTCTTCAAGGTCATTGTCTTCATCCCTATAATACCAAAACACTTATGAAAGGAAAAACACCACTTTTCATCAGGAAAACAAACAGAAATGAGCTTCCTAGTAATTAAAGTGTTCTTCTGTGTACCTAAGGCAACTAAATATTCAGAACTTCTAAAGTCATTCAGTTATTAAGGAATAACAACAGGAATTTAGGTGAAATAGAACAAAAAGTGTCCAACATAAAGAAAGTAAATTCTTCATCAATCTATAACACAAACATATCTCACAAAAATACCAACAGGGTAATTTTATTGGCACACTAAAACAAATCAAAGCTCCTTGTAGTAAAGGTCAAATGGCGACTGCAAGAGATGTTTATCTTCAGTAGATGATCTCTAGTGCCCCTTTAAATTGAGACTTTCTCTGGCCATCTTGAGACTATGTGATCTTAGAGAATCCACTATTTCATCTTACGGAATCGAACTTAGGACAAACATATTTGACAACGGTGAGTATACATGTATGACTGGGCAGCTCCTGCCTACAATGGAAAGAATGATGCAAAATACTCACATTTCAGAAATGCTTTCTTCTCCTTCTTCAGCAATTTCTTCCTCATCTTCATCTGAATCCAGTTCACCATCATGAATACTTGCTAGGTCTTCATCACTTTCAACTGGATCAAAGAAATCTTTGTATTTCAGGTTTCTGGAACTTTTACCTGACTAAAGCAAAAAGTTTTACGACTTTTAAAGAAGGATAAAATCACTGCATTAAATCATGCTTATAGGTGTATAATACAGGGAAAATTGGCTAACTAATAACAGTACCATAAATCCATAAAAACTACTAGACCATAACAAACTGAATGGAAGTATGGATTCATTTATAACTGATAAGATAAAGTTCACTGTTCCTATCTCTAAACCTTCTAGTTACAATTATTTACGAAATATCCCTGCCTCAATCAAGTATATAAATGCCTTCCTTTCGCTATTATTTCTAGTGCTTGTTAAAAACATATGTTTGAGGGAAATTTCTAAATATCTCTAATGTGTGATTATGGCTCTTAAGCTACAACGTTTTATGATAAAGGAAGTGATGGCATTGGTTTAATTTTCCCAGTCAGCTTTTTTTCAACTGATCTAAATATTTCCCTTATGCCCTGGTGAGTTTTGAGGTATTTTTAAACCTCTTCTCGAGACACAGAACTAAATCTCATTTGAGAAAGGTAGAAAGTACTCTTTCTCTTCTCTCCCAAACTTTACCTTAAGTGTTTGACTTCCAGACAGTCCTTCATCTTCATCAGAATCAACATCTTCAAAAAGATCAATATCGTCCTCCTCAGAGTCATGTTTTTGCTCCTCTTCTTTTTCCATGTTTTCTAAAAAGGTCTCCATCTCAGCTAGTTTGAAGAATTTATCATCTACTATGGTCTTTTCTCTTGGTTTACGGGGCACTTTATTTTGTACCTTGCTCTGCTGTTCCAATTTGCTGATATCAAAGTCAAGATCAGAATCCTCGTCACTGAACACCGGGCTTTTCGTCCAATCAGATCTGCTCGCGTTTCTAGCTGTCTCATCCTTGTTGGGATCCTCACCACTCATGTCTGACGCTTCCTCCGCTTCCTCCTCTTCCTCATCCATGTCTTGCTCTAGGTCCTCCTGGCCGGCAGCCCCCATCTCTGAGCCGTCCTCCTCCTCCTCATGCTCCTGCTCTTCGTTCTCTGGGAGAAGACTGAGGTCTCCATCTTTAATGGTTTCACTAACCACATTCTCGAAGAACTGTAAGACTGGCTCGTTCTGCAGTTCCAGCTGTTGCCAGATTTGCTCATCATCAAAACTGTCTATCATCAGTTTTTGTAACGGACTCCCGTGTTTCCTGCCCTTCTCTAGTAGCTTATTAAAGTCATAAAGTACTTTTGTTAAAGAAGTGAAGTTTGATGCCAATTCATCTTGAATCCTAAGAAGGAGGTAAGGGGAGGAAGTTAAATGAGATTTATAATTGTAGGTAACAATTTCACAGCACTTTGAATTTTTTAAAAAAAGCCCAATTCTTGTGCAAAATCAAATTTGAAGGAAATGTCAATTTTAAGTGTCACTGCTGGTCCCCAAGAGTGGACAATCATGCCGATGAGCCCCCTTAACATATAAAAGTGTCAACTCAGTATCTGTGAATCTGCTGTACGGATTTTAGGCAAGAAAACAATCACAGATCTATTTGCCTAGAGTTATATTGTGAATCTTAGCCTCAACCCTGCTACATCATATACCATTCTGTTCATTCCACCAGCCAACGGTCAACACTTGCTTTGGCAAGAGTGGTCAGAGAATACCTCTGAGGCTGTGACATATGAGATGAGACCTGCACATAAGGAGGCAGTCTTACAAAGATCTGGAAACATGTATTCTAGGCAGAAGAAATAGCAAGAACAAATGTCCTAAGATGGAAATGAGCTTGGTGAGTCTGAGGAACAGAAAGGCCAGCATGGCTGGACTGTGGTGAAGGAGGCAGGTGAGGTTAGAGAGGTAGGTGGCAGCCAAATCACGCACAGCTTAGCAGTCAGAGTTCGCTGTTTTAAGTGTAAAGAGGAGCCATAAGAAGGTTTTAAGCAGAGGAGCAAAATGATATAATTTATGCTTTGGAAAGATAGCCTGTGGAGGAAAAGGAATGAAAAAAGGGTGATTAGAAGGTTGATGCGGCCGGCCTTCTAGGCAAAGGATGATGAAGAACTCTGCTGAGATGTAGCAGTGGATACAGTGAGAAATAGCCAAATTTAGACTATACAATAGTTTGGAGACAGAGCTGACAGGATTTGCTAATGAATGAGATGTAGACTTGAGAAAAACGAAGACCTAAAAGGGGCAGCTTAGGCCTAAGTCTGAACAACTGGAAAGCTAGAGGCGATTACTGAGACAGGAAGGCAGGCGGTGGATGGAGCCCCGGGAAAGGGTTCCAAGGAGAGCAGAGCACAGGGGAGGAAATGGAGCCAACCGTTCCCTTTGGGCAGGTTAAAATTGAGATGCTAAGACTATATGGCTGTAGTTGCGTGAGCCTGGAGCTCAAGGGACAGTTTGAAATAGAAATCTGTGAGCCATAGTTTCACAGATCGTATTTTAAGTCCTTCCACAAAATACAAAGTGTGTATGTTGGGAAGAGTGGTGAAAGGCAGTCCTATTTTTCAAGACGCTCAGTCAGGGGGTGGAAAGACAGACAAGCAACAGGTTAATACTTTCAGTAAAGCATGATGATGGGTAAATACGCACTGGGTGCTTTGGGAGCTTATTGGGAGGAAAGAGGAACCAATCTAGTGCGCGCGGATGCGCGTGAACAGAGGGACTAGGAGATGCATAAGACTCAATGGAGGCCTCTGGGGATTAATAACTGGGCTTAGTTTGATTTCAATAGCACATGATTGGGAGATCCGCACTGTACAGCTTTTAACAATTTAAAATTTGTGGATAGATCAGGGGAGCGTAAACGATCTGAAATTTTGGGGAAAAGAGATCTAGGCTTCCCTTTACCTTCCCGTACTCCGGAATTTGACAGGGGCCTGCAGCCCGCGTCCACTAGAGATTTGGGCCGAAGCCCAAGCCCGAGGTCTGCGCACTTACGTGAGGAAGCATTCCGGCCGGCCGGTGGCTTTACCAACCTCTCCCAGACAACGCTCCAGAGTCCGTCGGCGCCAGGCCGGCGTGGCCATGGCTGCAGCTCCACATTCAGCGTCGCAGGCAAAGGAAAAGGCCCCGGAAGCCGCACCACAAAGAGGCGCCTCGCGCCGCCTAGAGCCCAGCTGCAAAGGTGCCGCGCAAACACGTTCCGGCAAGGTTGACCCGGAGCCCGGCAACGTTACCAGGGGCCCCGGCAACGTTGCCAGGGTGTGCGGTAACGATGCTGGGGGCCCGGGCAACCTTGCGGGGCAGGCTAGCAACGTTGTCGGGAGCTCAAGCAATAATGCCCGGGAGTCCGGCACCTTTTCCGAGGACACACGCCCAGTTAGAGCCAATGGGAGCCCGAGATCTTCACTGCGCTGGCGCAGGGGGGCCTGTTTCGTATCCCTGAAGGGCCCACACGGGGCCCTTTAAGTGACGCTTCCTCCCTTTAAGTGTCTGCTTTGGTTACACTTGGTGGCTTCCAGACTTCGTATTGTAAAGAATGGGCCCGCCGCCAGCCCGCACGGAAACGCGGCAGCCCAGGTAAGCCCCGCCCCGACTTCATGCCCCGCCCCGGCTCCTTGCTCCGCCCCCTCGCCCTCCGGCCCCACTTCGGGCCCCGCCCCTCAGCCAAACTCCGCGACGCGTCGGACGGACATCGGGATTTAGCTGGTAGCTTCCCACCATGGCTCACGTGCTGAGGGCGGCGGCGGCGGC